ATAAATTCACCTTCAATGTTTGTAAGAAAACGGTAAAAAACAATTTTTTTTTTTCCTTTTTTTTTGTACATTGTTGTTTTTGTTCCCCCACCAAAAACCAATCCCTTAATTTCTCCTCAGCAGAACTCCCCCCCCCCCCCCCCCCCCCCCTCCATGTCCAAAGGCCTTCTAGTTTGATTATACCAAAAATAATGTTAACTCCAATGTAACATGAAATCTCCTTTTTTCATCTCAGACCTCTTGAAATACTTTTCTTTTCTTTTTCTTTTTTTTTATTTCTTCTTTTAACGTCATTAATTCCAATTAGCAAACTGTTTTCAACCTTACAATGCAACACTGAACCAAATATTCAATCCCTGAGTATGCTGACAAATTGTTCCAACAAAAATTAAAACAAAACGAAAAAATAAGAAAGAGGCTAATTTCACGATAAGGAAAAATGTGTTTAAAATATCCAATATAGCCTGGGAAAGGCAAAACTCAAGGATCTTACATAAATATCGTCTTCAGGAGAAGTCGAGGACTCTATCACATTGACATTCTTTCCTATGCTTGTATTAGCATTCTGTTATGTCACTTCTTGAACAATTCCATTCGCATGCTCGTTTGTCAAAAAATATTTCCTGTTAGAGAGTAACCCCGACTAGGACTAATTATGTAACTGCAAGAGATTCTCTCTTCGTAACTGTAGGTGACTTTGCCCCTCCCCACCCCCCGGATCTATTGAAATGCACACACAAGTAGGTTCTTCTGGTGGCGCCAATACGGCGTGACTGAGCTGCTACCATTAATGCACATTTTTATTTGCGCAAAAAACGTTCCCTCTACATATACATTGTGTGACGTTAAAGGGTTTTAAGTCCGATTACTAATTAGAAGATTAGACTTGCTTTCAACTTTGCGGACGAGCACCGTTAATTATTCATATTGTTGTCTAAACCTTGCGCGAAAAATTGATGATGGATTCAAATGCAAAACCCTATAAAACAACTAGTAATAAATACGTTAATATCATCAATTGTTGAAAATATTGGCACTTTCTAAACAAACTGCAAAGATTTGTCTCAAACGCTGTTCAGAAGAGTTCACCAAGTATCATCATCTTTTTTTAGTAATGAGGTTTCAGTTTCTTGAATGTTTTCAAGTCTCAAATTGCCTTTTCTCTAAAAAATGCCCCGTAAATAACCTTAATTATTTATTCGTGACAAACCGCATTTTTCTTTGTTTCATTAATCCCTCACCTCATTCTAAGTGCCGGAAATAATATTTTGTTGTTCGTTTAAAACCTCTAGGATGCACGGAAAAAACAATTCATACCAGGAATCCATTTTGGCGCGAGTGTTGCCCTAGGCTCTGTGTTACGTTCTTGATGGATCTGTTTGCTTTCAAGTTCTATTGATCGACCATTCGAGTAACTGAGGACTCGCAGTTAGCTACATTACAGTGTAACAACATTTAACGGAAAGAGAAGTAAGTTCTACCTATAAAATACTGTTCAGTGGCTAGCGTTTTTTTGGCTTGCAGTGCAAAACATGGGAAGGTTACGACGAAAAAACAAACCCAATGGTCCTCTTGATGGCTTGTTGACACAAACACTCGCAAAACGTGTTTGTGGTTTCATGTCGTAGATATTTTTATCAAGGTTGTTATCCTTTAGTTTGGCTGATAATCCCTTAGTATTGCGAGCGTGTTAGTTTAGCTTTGGAGGGGGCATGAAGATACGGCAATGAATGGCGAAATATGCTGAATTGTAAAAACTGTGGCAGAGCCTGCGTAACTACCCAAATGCAATCGAAATCAAAGCTTGTGGTCGTCATTTTCATAAGAGGTAAATGTAATGCATTTTATACGGTATAGAAATTGAGGACCCTCAATCGTCTATCCGGAATTGAAAGAGGCATATAAAGCCTCTTAACTTCCAAAAATATCTCGGTTTTTTATATTCCTTAGCAGAAATCGCCGCCATCTTTTTGCTTTTTAATTTATTTTACTGTCCAACCCTTTTCTTCAGCGTTATATATGCAACCTTCAGTCACTGCAGTCAAGAACATCGGCTCTGCATACCGAATCGATCGTACATGTGTATTGAAGCATGCGGATTGATTTAGTTATGAAAGTATTGGTTTTTGAAAACAGAAAAACTTCTGCTGGAATGAAATAAATAGAGCAAAACAACTGATAACCAAAAAGCACCAAACAGCCACTAGAAGTTCATGGCGAGTCTGTCAAATTTCTGACTCTAGTCAATTTTTGAACGGGAGCTTAATGGTCTATATCTGAACCAAAAGATATTTTCTGCAAGTTCATTAATGGAGGAAAAATGCTAAAGATGAATAAAATCGTCGTATACTTAAGAGTAAATCCAGATTTTTATTAAGAAGGCGCGCGCCAGAGCACTTCACTGAATTGGAGAATTCGCCAATCATCCTATTAGCATTTTTGCTTTCGGTTTTGACATCAACATCTCTTTTTCTCATATATTTGAAGTTGTTGCATAACTTACTTTATTTGCAACCTGAACAGAGCCGAAAATGGGTTCATTCTTGTGATAACGATTTTCAGCTGCTATTTCCCACAAAAATGAAGTTTAACTTGTTTGCAGCACAATAGATCATGTCATAGATAATCGCAAGAGAATTACTGGGTATAAATAACAATAAATAATCCAAAGCAAAAGAATGCCATTGTCAGCGGTCAGACTAATATGACTAATTAGCCTTTTTGTCGTATATGAAGCAAGTGATATAGACTAGCTCTGTATGCCAAAGGGGCACCCTCACTTGAGAATATGGCGATATGGGCTGTTTGATCCTTGCTCAGCAAATTCTGGGGAAATGAAGAGTTGGGTTAGCAAGCTCGTCATTGCCTTAACATAAAATGCTGACAGGGGGAACAGATGTTGGGAACAACCGATAAAACTGCTAACAATATTGTTGGAGTTGATGCTACTTGCTTTAAAAGCTTGTCTCAACATCGTCTCGACATTCCGATTGTTTGTTGTTTTAAGTTCACGCTTTCAACTGCTTTCAACTTAAAGCGAAACTAGCTCGGCACGTACGCGCAAAGTATCTGTTTTTGCTTTTGTAATGTTAACCACCAGCTAACTATTCACGAAAAATAAAAATGCAAGACTTTTCTGAAAAACTTTATTTGCCCCGAGCTCGTTGAACGAAAGATCTTCCAAAATCGCATTGTTTGAGGATCTATGAGTCACGTCTTACGAGGATTTAAGCGAAAAATGTTTTCTTTGCCAAAAGTAGGCAATGTGAGACAACTTCAAAAAAGTGGCCATTTTGGGTGGATTGTGTCTTAGACTGTAAATGATCGGAGTACATTACATGATAAGTCGACATACTTTTGTGACGGCAGCGATAATCAAATAGTTTATGCCCTTTTTTAATGTGTACAGTAGACAGTCGTGAACAGATAGGCAGATGGCCCATTACAGTAGCCGTTTTTAATTCTAAAATGTTTAGGTAATGGATTCTTGACACAGAACTATAAATGAAGCAATTTCCTGACCTAAGGATATGGTCTTCTTGTATCAATTTCAAACAAACTCTGGAGTCTAGAAAATGATTATGATCGGAAATGTTATCCTAATTTTGTGAATATCTAATTTACGGATAACGGGCGGAGACATTTGGAATGATTATCTGTAAAAAGGTTTTCACTGTCTGGATGATAATGTCAATATTGAACCTTCCGACCCCTCCCCGTGTCAAATATTCTAGATCCGCTTACACTGTGTCTAGCTAGGCTGAATGTGAAATGCCACCGACAGACTGTTGCTACGAAAGATTCAGCCTGACAGCATGCTTTTAAATATAATTGTTATACATGCACCCGTTACAAACAACATTACCTGTTATTGTCTGTGGTGCTCGCAATTCTGAACTTTTATTTCAAGTCGACGTTTTGCGAAAGGCGCTAAAAAGCAAACGACGACAAAATTAACTGCTGACTATTTGTATCTTTACCACTGTAAAAATAGTCAAGGTATCAAGCTTTTTCGAAACACCTGCTCTGGCATTGTTAAATTCACTACGTTCGAGTTCGCAACGTACATATTCGCGTCGCTGCCATTGGCAAAGTCCAAAACTTGCACACTCGGAGGATAGGTAAGGTTAATTTTTGATATATTGATAGAGTTTGACCGAGCTAAAGAAATGTCTGGTGTAATTGTTGTCGAAATAAATTATGCTTCCGCTACGGCTTTTTGTCGGCAGTCAGCCACGCCTTAAAACGTAGATATAAAGTGAAAAAGAAAGACTCGCTGCTATTTTTTTCCGCCATAGTCAGCGAAAGATACACAATAATTGCTTCTATTAGCTGGTGTAATAATGTAAATTAGCCAACGTGTTTAATAAGCGTTTTTTTTTTTGGCAAAAGTTTCCATGTTGAAAGCTAGCCAGATTAAAAAAGCCAAACTTTGGCATTTCACCTTGGCCACCCCGCATAAAATGATGTAAATATTTGATCGGAACCTCCTACCACGTACTAAAACACATATTTTTTTTCACTGCAATTTGGCTCTGTAGGAATTGTTGTTCGCAGTAGCGCGCAGTGTCTTCCTCTTATTTGACTATAAAATATTCTGCTTATAAGAATTGATTTGATTATCTCCAACGTGACTTACTCCTCACTGAAAACTGCTCAGTCAACTTGGTAAGTGCGCAAAATAATCACTGAGAATTATTTGACCTTTTGTCGTAGATTAGAACTGACTTTTTTAAAGTTCTCGATAATTGCAACACATCGTAAAAATTTATCTACGATGCACTTGGCCTCCTTATCTTAAAAGTTGAACAAAAAAATGTGCTTCTAAACTTAATGGCTAATATGCTCACGTTCCGGATGTCTGACATTTCATGTCTAATGAGAAAAAAATTATATATAAAATGTAAGATTTTAACAGGATTTTTAGTTTTAAAAGTAGTAGTCCAATTAGAGCCCTAGAACGGGCTTTTCACGTTATCAGCCACACCTAGAAAACATGGATTTAAACCAATTATGTATCAGGTGTTATAATTTACAGTTGTGAAACAACAATGAAAAAGGAAAAGCCATCAGAAGGCGAACTCGTTTTAAAAGCTGATAACGGATTCTTCTTGTAAAAGCTACTTTCAAATATAATTTATGTAACAGACAGCGATGAAAGATAACTAAATTACAATAACCTTTTTCATTTCGTAGTCTGAACAAAAGATTAACTCAGATCAAGACACTGCCTTTCATTTATGAAAAACAAATTCAAGAGGTTTTATTCTAATGGTGACAACAGGCTTTCGTCCACAGAATATGTGAATCAAATGTTAAAAACTGCATGCAACAAGAAAATTCTATTCCTAAAAGTTTTTTGTTTTGCTTTGCTTCACTTTACATGACATTACCTATTTTGAACAATGACAGCAGAAAATGATAGCGGTAAGAATCAATTAACCAACTAATTAATAAAAACATTACATCATCTCTTTTCATATAAAATTAAGAAAATCGTGACTGAACATAAAAGCTGCAAATTACTAATTAATCAACACAGTTACAAAGCAGCAAAGTTTTTAAAGCAATATCCAAGTAATTAAATAATTAAAGTGAAACTTTATTTTAGATATCCATTCATAGATTTTCGTATAAAGATGTTCAACTTTAATCTTAATTCATTGACGAAGACAACAGACTCGTAAAAGTACTATGTGGTCTAGTAATCCTGCCTGCTTCAATGTGCAGACTGTGTAGAATACACTGTTCCCGAGGCAAGCTAGTAGTGGCTATCAAAGAAAATTTTAAATATGGCATAAACCGGCGTCAGTTTAATTTCCCATGTTTGATGTTAATGTTGATAAACTTTGGCGGCTGGTTAGTTCAAGCTTTCGTGATTTTAGGTTGATGTCGAGGTACGGAACAAACAAAAAGCGAAGCAGACATTCAAGGACACAGTTGACAAATGCGATCGTTAAACGAGGACGTGAGGAAATAGCAGTTTAGCTCATGCACGTAGACTGCAAGACAGTCCGTATTTCTGCGTATTCAAGTACGCGCGATCCGCGAGCAGCCAACGAAAGGTCTGGAACGAGGCTGAAAACAGAGAGCGAGACTGGGGAGAGACTCTCGCCTCACACGCCTTACGGACGTGTGAGGCTTGCGCGCTTCGCGCTTAAGACTCTTACCCCACGCTTCACCGATTTCTTTACTGATTTTGAGAAAAAAACCGACTGTTTTGCAGTCTATCATGCACGCATCCCCCTTTTTTCTTCTCGCCTGTAGAACCTGTATATGTAAAAATATTTGTTCCACTCATACACGTGTGTACATTCTGTCACGACGCCCGTTTATGCTGCTGACTCAGATAAAAAACTTAATCATATTATCAGCCTGAGAATTGAACAATGATTCATCACCCTTCATCTAATATTAATTGAAGTTAGTAGTAGAATGTCTTTCATACCTTTTTCAGTATGGGGTATGGATAACGGAAAAATAAAGGGGCGGGATCAGTGTTTAAAATCTATGTGTACAGATAAGCAGGTAATTTTAAGTGGACTTACATTTTTCTTAAGAAGCTTAAATATATAAATATCTTACCCCTCTTGGGCAAGCCTGATTTTTAAGTAATTTTTATTAGTATCCGTTACCATTCAACCATTTTTCATATTTTTTTGGCTCAGAAAACAAAACCATAAGTCTTCTAAGCCTAATTGTTCTTTTGGTGTTTATCCACTGAGAGACTGTCGAAAAGTCGAGATGCTTCTAAAAAGTTTATCAAAAAATTCGTCAGAAGTGATGTTAGTTGCGTTATAATGAACTGGGTGTCTTGCTACATTCATATCACTGACGGAGTGGAAAAGAGGTTCCCTTAATTCCAACTTGCGTTAAAAGACTGAAACAGACAATACTGTAAAGAGCACTTAACTTGACCCCACATATTAAGAAAACAGTCCTTTTTTTGTTCAATGTAACTCAAATGAATAGCTACGTGAAGGCCTCTAAAAAACAGTTACTCACACTCAACTCATTGTTACGTTTGAGAAACTAACCGCAGGAAAAATGCATCCTCTTTTTGTTTTTATGCGTTTTGGTTTATTCCGAATTAATACAATAAGAAGGGATTATCTTGCGTTAAGCCCTCCGGAGGAATGTGCCAGAGTTTCCATTATTAACCTGACGGGAGGTCAATAAACAGCAGTATATACCGAGAAGGTACGTATCTTACCTCTTCACTTTGGCATTTGCAGAGTCCACTGCAAGCTTATCAAGGCCTACTTTTGTTTGGTTCATCATAGACCACGGAGAGGGACGTTTCTTTGTTCATAACTACATAGGTAAGACTGCTAGTCCTACTCGCTGATGTTATTTAATTAAGCAAGTGGTAAACCACTTTTCATACAGCTGTAGCTTCATCACATGTGATATGTGATTAACAAGATTCAAATAAGTTTTCTATCACTACATATCCTGCATTGTCTCAGTTTCTTCTGTCGAATTTTCAACTCAAAGCGTTATGATACGTCTTTTCATTGCACTGTTAAGTATGTGATTCTAAGAACATGCATTTACCACAGATTGCTCAGTGGAAACGTAAACTTAAAACTTTGCCTTTCCCGAAATTACTGAGAAAATAGGATGTGATGGCTAAGCACAAATATGCTAAGACAGGAAGGAAAAGAGGATTTTATGCGTTGTTTTGTTATTCAAAATTTCTGCTCTTTCCGATGTCCGCAAAAATAAGAAAAAATAACCTTGACCTTTCCAGTGCGTCTTTGTCACTTACAAAGACTTGGATGGTTGGCAACTAACTTTGAATCAGCGGAATAATTTTAATAATTATTACCAGCCAAGTTTTCTGACACAATCTTCTTGAACTGATCCAGTATGCATAACTGCCGGATTGTTTTGCGGACAGACTTCTGGACTCCCAAGGGCTTTGCTTAAAAGTTTAAGGAGAAGAATTTGTCAATAGAACTTATTAACCACTTTTTCTCATTTTCCGAAAATTCCAACGACCACCCGGAGTTATTGCTGTGACCATCCAATAGTTTTTAATTTTTTTCTGTTTTTGAAAAACTGAAGATTGTGAACGTGCCAAAATTTGGGCCTTGGTCACTACTCTGGTCACTACTGGAAGTAACTCAGGGGCACCCAACGACAATTTTCGGAAGAATATCTGTTCGGAAGACTATTTTAGATCTAGAATTTTCGAAACATTTGTTGTAAAATTTCTGGCTTGCCTGCCTCTCCTAGGATTTTCGAACATCTAAAAATGGTATAATTGCCTATTTTTAACGGATTTTTACCCTAAAAAGGTCACCTAGAATTTCGGGAGCCTTTTTTCTGGCTGATATTTTCGAAAAGGTAAGTTTTGATCCCTATAATTTTCGGATCACTAGACTTTCGGCTAGGAAATCCGAGCAGATGAGAAATTTTTAGGGGATAAAAATATGCCTATATCTACTGTTTAAATACTAAAATACGTTTAACAATACTATGTTTAAGTGGTTTTGAACTATATTCTCGTTGGGTGCCCCTGGTAACTAAGGGTAGGTTATTGCCCCCGCCTGAGTGAAATTCCGAAGAGGCCGCTCTAGTAGCTCGCCGTGTAGTAAGAAAAGTACTTACAGAGAAAATATACAGTCAGTATGTCAGAAAAAATCTCGATTTGCTTGAACAGGGGCCGCATGGAATCGTTTGGTAATGCATGATGACGTTTCTATTGTTTGCGCCCGCAAGTAAGAGATGGTTAGGATGACGTAAAACCAGGAGCCTATGACGGCTTAGGTAGATTTTGTGACATTTATTGTACACTCATGCACTTCTTTTGCGTTACGTGTTATCTGGGTGACATTCTATGGAGCAGCTGTTTTGAAAGTTAAGGACCAAAAAAACGCGGCACTCGTTGAGCGCAGATGAAGTTATATTTCAGTATTAGGTGCGTATAACTGTGTACATATAGACCCATATAAACAGTGAAATACTTTGCCGGACTCGAGTTAACAAATAATCTTTGATTGGAAACAATTTGCCAGACACTTCTCTCCCTTTGGGGGAATAAAACTCAGTCCACAAACAAGCAAGACGAGTAAATAAACGGCTAGCTTACCACTAGCAGAACGATGAACGATTACAGAAATTCGCCGACAATGCTGACTTAATCCTTGCTCACAGATTTCCTTCTATAAAGTTAAAAAAATAATAATAATAATAACCAGAACACGCCAGCGTGAATTCATCAAACCTTCGAATCTCGAAGGCTTACTTTCCGGCAAATAAAAAAAATTCCCGCAATTTCTAATTACATCTTTTGTTATGGTTTAGAATAAACTACTCTCGAACTGACTGAAACTGTTTTGATCAAAGCTGTGCAAATCGAACTGAATTAATCAGTGCATGGAACCTTGAGTTTCCTATTTTTAACTCACCTATTGTATGGAATCCATGGAACATGTATGAAAATCTTCATTATGAATCGGTACATTTCAAGGAGCTAAACAACGAAACGATCAAGAATACTGTTGACCGACAATGTACAGAGCGGGGGCAGCTGTAGTGTCAACTATTAATAGTGGATATTACACAAGCATTTAAAGGGGAAAGCAAGGACGCAGACTTTCAGTTATCAGCAAGTTACCCAGTACATACGAATGTTGCTTGCGGTCACCCTTACATCGAAAATTAAGACCAGCCAAATGGATGAATTATCAGTTTTAAGGCGTCTTGAGCCTTCCGAACAGATATGCTACTTAACAGTTCTCGCTTGCAACTGAAACCATTTAAAGTAGGTCGTGAAAAGCAATGTCCAGATACTCTGTTAAGTCGCTCTTTGACCTTCATTAAATACTCGATGACGTTTAGACCTTAATCTTCAAATATTCCGCCCCAGCGTTAACAGCGCGTTAAACTGGGAAAAAGTCATGGAGTAATTGGGCGTGAATAGCTATTAATACACAAAAAAGAATAAAGGTGATTTGTTTTGATGGCGCGGTAAAGCGCCATCAAGATTTACTGTTTCACTGTGAATTATTTTGATAATAATTAGAGACTCCAATAGAACTTCTAACTCTTCTAAGTCTTTTAATTCCCTGTTATCTGCCTGCAGTTTTGTATTTGATCTGAAAAAGGAGGGAAAAGCAGGAAAACGTCCGAAAGACTTTGCCATTGGCCCCTTTTCTCTTATCAGCAAAGAACGATAAGAAACTTTTTTATCCAAACGTGGATCGTCTGCAAAGAGGCTTTTTAAAACTAATCTCGCCTACGCCTTGATATTTATCGCTGCAGAAATTAATCTTAGTTTACCTCCCAGAGACGAACTATAATATTTTATCCTGGACTAAAAGATATTTTTCTTTTCAATGTTCAATAAAAGACTTTCAAAAGACGCCAGAATCATTCACGTGTACTGTTTTTTTTTTGTTTTTGGCTAAAGTGCAACGAAATGAATTATGGGATGGTAATCTAAGCCAAATGACGTCATCAGGAAATCGACAGCCAATTTTTATTACCTTTGACTGTACTGCCTGCCTGTAGAAGGATTGTGTTGTAATTTTCATGCATTTAAATCTTAAGTTTTTAACTTAACCTCACTGCTGAATAACTCTTAAATTAAACCTCAGGGCATCATCAAATGATTGAATTGAAGTTGATGTGAAGGCTTTTGTTCACGGTTTTTGACATAGTTGTAAAACCTTACGGCATTATCAAAGGATGGCGAAATTTAAAGTGATGTAAAAGTAATTGTTCACTGAGTATGCGATTTTAGCTAGTTTAATTCAAACCACTGTCAAACTGATCATCATCTATTCATAATAAGATTCCAGATATTTCCCGAAGATTTTCTTGTCAATAAAGACGCTAATAAATTTTAAGTAGCTTATCGTCCTTTTGGCGGTAGATTTATCTATTTCCGCGGCCTTGGTGTCCGTTTGAAGTTCTAAGGCGTTTCCGTTGACTCGACACTCTTACTTTTAATAGAATGGTAAATTTTTGTCATAAGTCGACAGCCAGTTATAATTGAAACTCACCGGTTATCATCATCTTTATCACATACTTAAAGAACTTAGCTCTTGTTTTGACCAAAGTTCAAGCAGTTAATTAGACGTAAAAATGCATGTGTAGGCAAGTTTTTAGCCTGTCTACAGCATAGCAGCACTCCATATTTGTCAGTCGGCAATGCGGAGTGAACAAACGGCTCTTGAAATCTAAAGCCATGCCCAGGCAAATTCCTGCACGGCTGATATATATATAGAGGCTGCATCGGTAAGTTTCTTAGATGTAATATCATCTTGCACCAGAAGGAATTAGTAGCTAAGACCTATTGAACGTGGATTTTGTCAGCTCTTCTTCCACACTCTCCAGCTTGACCTGTGAAATCTTTGAAAATTCAGTAAGTCAATTTTTCTGAAATCTTTTTCGATAATGAAGCAATTTTAGTACGGTATTTATCAGGATGAACTAAACGTTAATGAGGAGTGGCAAGGCCTCGAGCTGTCATGGTCTCTCGTTTAACTTTTTACTGTGAGGGATTGCTTTTGAGGAATCTACAATCTCGGATTATCGACCGAATTAGTTGGCTACCTGAAAAATATTTTCATCCTTAAGCCATGAGCCTGTCACTCAAAAGCACTACAATCAAAGTTTGCACAAACACCTATTGTGAATTACAGTAGTGGAAAAAAAAAATAGTATCATATCAAGGAGGAACCGCTGAAAAGCGTTTATACTGGGATGGGCACACTTTACTGTTGAACACAAAAACAACAACAGTTAAGTACAAAATTGTCAGAATCAAACCCGGCCTGTACAGCCACACAATAGAAAGGAATAAAGTAAATAATCCACAGTGAAGTAGTGATTTCTTAGCCAAAGGTCTGTGGCTGTTATCTGCAGACTCGAACGTTCATTTTTAGACCCCCTTCACAGCATAATATACTGACTTATTATCCTTCCCAAAGAACTAAACGGTAGCCAGCAATCTAATATACAATTAAAAAATGGGTTTAGGGTTTGGAAGAGAGAGATTTTAAAGTAAAGCTTTTCATAAATTTTAGGATGCCGCTTTTCAGGGGTTTTGAATGCACGGTCAATAAGATCAACATTTCCATAACAAAATCGCACGAGCGGCTTAAGTCATCCAGACGCAGATTTTTTTTTTATTATTAATGATATTTTATGAGATTTAACCTTTTTCAAATATCTAACATATCTTGAGATTTATTTGTGCAGAATAAAGTTTCAATTAATCAGCTGAATTAATCTTAATCTTTTATTTTTTCAGGTTACAGCCTCCTAAGTGAAATATCTGCTACGTTATCGTGGATAGAATGCAGCTTGATTTCACTTGGTCGACCCTTGCAATTGGTTTTTTGGCTCCTGTTGTTGGCCTGATTATTCTTTTTGGAATCATTGGGAACATTCTTGTTATCATCGTTCTGTGGCAGCAACAACGTCGATCTCGCCGGACAAGTGCAAACTTTTTCCTCATAAATCTCGCTGTTGCGGACATTCTCGCCTCTGCTAATCTTATATTTATGCTGGCGACGATCCTCAATCAAGGGGAATGGCTGTTCGGAGAGGCGTTTTGTAAAATAAATGGTTTCCTGACTGTTCTGTTGGGTGCCGCGTCGCTGTTAACACTGTGTGCTATCAGCGTAAACAGGTATTTCAAAATCGTGGAAGAGGGAAAGTATAATCTTATTTACACTAAAAGCAACACCCTGAAAATCCTAGTAGCTACCTGGTTTCTTCCATTTGTGCTATCGATTGCGCCGATATTTGGCTGGTCTGAACACGAGTACCAAGTCGGGAAATGCGTCTGTCATTTCCTCTTCGGACGGAGCATATCTTACACGCTCACGTTCTCCACTTTCATCGTGGTCCTGCCTTTCAGCATTATTCTCTTTTGTTATTTGAAGATCTACAAGATTATCAAAGCGCACGGAGCGATGATCGGAAACCTTCGGCGAAGTCAGCCCGCTGTTCACGTAGAAGACATCAAAATCGCCACTACATTGTTCATTGTGATTGTGGTATTCGTCATTTGCTACATCCCCGCTAGTGTAATCAACATTCTGGACATGGCTAGCCTTGGATTCAAGATTCCTCATTGGCTGGACATGTTGTCGTTTGTTCTGGTGGTCTCTAATCATGCTAACAACCCAATCATTTACAACGCCCTCAATCGTTCTTTCAGGCAGTCATTTCGTGAGGTCTTACATATAGGATCTTCTGGAAGGCCGCGAGCTCCAAGCAGAAGCGCTAGCAGAACCAGTTCTAAAAACACTATCCCGCGTGGTTTACAAGCCAACGGGGTAATGCAAAAACCTCCCAGCAATCCTTGTTACCAACACTCGCACTCCTCAAGTGAAAAGTATACTCCTGAGATCATTGAATACGAGGACTATAATCACGACGAGAAAGTTCCGGGAACATGTTGTCCGCACAAATCTTCAGATTGTTAAACTCTAATCACCCAACTTGGACAATTTTAATGTCTATATCTTGATTTGATGATTTTTAGCTTGTTATCTGTAGATTCGGGGGACTGGTTTGAATGACGTAAATATCAGTCTTGAATAAAAATTATGTAATATATTACTGATTATGTAAGTGACCAATTTTGGAAACTAAGCCACCTGACTGGTTGTGATGAGTATTGTCACTTGGTGTACTGCTATCTCTATTTCCTTTTCGATTATTTGAGCTAGAAAGTCAGTGAACAAGTGATAAAACTGTACCTTCTGGAAAACGTTGGAAAACTTGACGAGCAGTGAAGGTCAAATCTTGTTACCAGGTTTCTCTAGATCTCTGCTAACCTGAATCCTTTCATCTACAGGGCCTCATTGATATCAACACTTTATGCTGAGGAGGTTATACCGGCTTAAAAACATTTATTAAAACGGTTGGCTTTTCTATTAGAAAATGGAAGAACCCTGCCCATTCCTAGGGAAGAGGTTGGTAGCCCACGACACCCTCGTTCAAACATTGCATCGAGCGGTAGAAGAGTGTAGAGAAGTGTAAAAAGCTAAAAAGTTGCTAACTGCAACTAAAATAAGGGGGAAAAAACAGATAGATTCTATAGGCTATTTATGGCGCTTATATAGGTAACGATAAATATAAAAGAATTTTCTCAGTTCTTGAAAATAGTTGCAGGACATTTTTGTTTAAAACAACCAACTGCGACCCTTAGAAAGAAGATGGCTAGTCATTTTATTTAACTTTAAGCTTCAGTTTATAGAGCATCATCCAAAACTGTACAAAGGCATAAGAATTCTTGAATTGTAACTAATTTATGTAAAAAACTCTAATTTTTTTATTAAGAACTTTGACTGAGGCCCTGTCCACACGTATCCGTTTTGATATGAAAACGCAACTTTTTCTTTACAGATACAGCTTCCGTCCTCACGTATCCTATGAAAACGATCAATGAAAACGGAACTTTTCGGAAAACGCTCTCCAGAGTGGAACTTTTCGAAAACGCTGTTTTCGCGTGTATGTGTTTACAGACGAAAACGGAACTTTTCGGAAACGCTGAGGACACACTATCAGTTCCAATCCACTCCGCGCAATATTAAAAACTTATTCTGAAGATGGCGGACGGGCGCTTCCCTTTCTTGTCTCTTATACTTGGGCTTATTTCTAACCGAATTGCGTATTTTCAAGGAAATTTGGCTTTGTTAATTTTTAAGCTGATTTTTCCAGGATGTGGCAGAACATTATCAGGTTACTTTCGCTACCGGTGTTAAGAGGCAGAAGGTTGGATTTCCTTAAGTTTGACTTTGTTTTGCCCTGATTTTGACATCTTAGTCTGTTTCTGCGACTTTGAAGAACGTCACAACAATATAAGCCCACACCAAAGAAATTCAAAGATGGCGCCAATTTGTTATTTCGCGGGCTCATAACAGCAAACACGTATGCGTCAAGCATGCGCAGTCGTGTAAGCTATGGACAGGCTAAAACACTACGATCTTAAGAGTGGACGTGAAGTTTTTTGAAAACGGAGAAAAACAGTTGCGTTTTCAAACGAATACGGATACGTGTGGACAGGGCCTGAGTGACTTTCTCAGGAGACAGAGGAATAAAAAAGATATTATTTTAGTGTAATATATGACAAAAAATAAAACAGATTCAATGAAACAAGTTGTTATAAAAAAAATAATCACTTAACTTAAGCTGTTTGCGTTACGTTGGACAAAGTTAGCTTTCAGGGACCGCGCTGACCTGGACACTAGTTTTGTCACTTTAAAAGGAAGAGCGTTTACCGGCCTACCCCATATAAGGGAATCCACATTCCGGAATGTGGGAAATTTTTGCTGTGGAATGCGCAATCCTGGGCTTTGAAATCCGGAATACAGTTCACGAAATCCGGAATCCCAATAACAATTGGAATCCTGAATCCAAGCCGGATTCCGGAATCTGGGAAATTTTGCTTGTGAAATTTGGAATCCTGGGATTTGGAATCTGGAATACAGCTCAAGGAATCCGGAATCCCACTAAAGATTAAAATCCAGACTGACAAGATGACTGGAATCCAGCACCTGGAATCCAGAATTCACGGACTGTCTTGGATTCCCTTAATGGGAAAACTGGCTCTAATCCCAAATCAAAGGTGCCCCCTCTGATACATCTAGAACTCAACAATCTTGCCTATTGTTCCATTCCATCTTCGATATTTAACTGAAAACCCGTTCCTGAGAGTGTTCTTTTGCTCATCCTATTTTATTATTTTATCGTATTTCATGTTATTTGGTTAAAACATAGTTCGGAGGAGACTGATTAGGAAACCCGGCAAACATCAAAGTTGAAAGCAATGGTGATGTAGGTTATGTTGGAAGCTCCCAGACCGCTCACAATCCTTTGTTTTCCGTTCACAAATTATGACTGAATAAATTAATGCAATGTTTCTATTCGTCTACTAGACGAATAGAAATGGAATAACGAAAATGATAGGAATGCTATTGAACGTTGTGCACGGTCAGGTCCAAAAAAGCTAACAAAAAACCTATAACAAAGGGTTTCCCAACCATTCCACTTTAATTAACTATGGTTAAAAACAATATGGATCGCGTATCTTGTGTTATGGAAATCAGCTAAGAATGCTGTCTATTGCGCATGGGTATTAGCTGACTCTGTCAGGGCTTTAACCTTACGAGAACTTTCAGAACCCCAGTCGTACTCCCTCTTCTATACTAGATCATGAGTCTGAAAGGGTATAGCTCGTTTCTACCTGTTTTCTCTTTTATAACTTAGTAATTTCTCACGCACTCAATTGGTTTCTTTTAGTCTCAAGCGTTTGCTTTTTCTAAAACCTTTGCCGGACGGAAAATGGACGCTTAAAACCTTATATCGTATCTGCCATTTACGAGACGTCACAGGTGACCAGTATCTAAAGATACTGATACCAAAAAATATTGAACGAAGCTATGTCAATGAAATTTAGAAGGCATTTAGAGAGTAATAGTCGGTTATTTGAACGAAGCCTAACTTACACCGCGGTTTAGAAAATCTTTGGACCTCCAGATCTCTTCCTTACTAGGTTATTTTAAGAGGACCAATGCTTTTCTAGTCTAAGCCATATGCTTTCATGAAATTCTTCACGATAGATGGTGCTTACATAAAAACGTTCGGCAACGTGAAAATGGCTTAGAACGCGGTTTTGTTAAACACTCGCTAAACTTCGTTTAAATAACTGGACCTAAATGTGTGAAAGTTAGTGGTTAATGTTACTTGGTCATGCAGGTTAGCATCTGCAGACAGAGAACTATCGCGCAATAACTTGAGCTGAAGACTCGAGGGGTTTTTTCTTGCGTGTGGTGGGATGCTTCGGTGTCGGCCGCAATCTTTGGCCGGTCGAAGGCCGATTGACCGAAACCCGAAACCACGCATGAAAAGTCTCTGCTGGCACCCAGGTTTCACTTTCTACGCAGCTACACACATTTCGTCGCAATTTTAAGAAGTCGACCATCTTGAATCTTGAATCTTGTATTTCTGTTCCATTAAGAAAATTTTAACCTTAAAAATGATAGCAAGGATCCTAGAAATTCAAGTTTTGGGAACAACTTTATCAGTCATTTAGTATGAACAAAAAACTATCTTGAAAGTATTCAAGAGAGAGTCCGCTTACATGGAGCTAACAAGGTTTGGCGCCTGGTACTTGTTTTCCGGCTACTTGTTTAAAAATTATAAACTTTCAACCTCAACTAGTCGATTGTGCTTTCAATAATGAAAGAGACCGTGGAAAGTTTTTCTTGATGACGAGACAGATTTCCTTTTTTCTTATCAGGAAATAGTATAATGTTCCCCGACGGAAGACCAGGTTGATCGCATATGAATTGGAGCTTCGAGAGCGATGACGGCGGATTTTTCAAGGGCTTCCGATAGGCGATCGATTTCAAATAATCTGGTTGAGTTTGTTTTCTTTGCGGGAACCAAGATTTGAACTTGTGAGCCACATTTTGTCCTGTGTTTCCGCTGGTGAAGATGCGTCTTAATGTTCGTGGTCTTTACGGCAAACGTTGACAACCATAGGAAATACCTAACCGACAAGTCTTTTTTTAGATGAGGGAAAAAAAAAGAACAACAACAAATTCCATTTCACAAAAAATGTCAAAAGGTAAGCTGGCCAACTAATGGAAGAGCTTCAGTTCGTACACCTTTCCTTTTACTAACTATATGAAGGCTGCATCCACTGACTCCAGAAATGTGCGTCAAACTGAGTTACAACCAAACAAACACCACCTTATGCAAGAAGAATACGGTTCCCCACCCCTCTGGCGGATCCAGAGGAGGGGCCAAACTGAGGCCCGAAGGGCAGAAAATTTGTTTCTTAGGCCGGGCCCCCACCGGACCCTTCAGGGTCTGTATGACCAGCCCCCTCCCCTCTCCTCCTTATCTGAAGGTCTGGATCTGCTACTGAAACAAGATGATTTTTATTACAAGGTTAACAAAATCATGTCTTCGTATCAAAAGTTACTTTGTGTTAGTTTCGGTAAGTATTGAAGTTTTACACTTTTCGACATTAAGTCTGGGAATGTTGATTAGTCATGGGGAAATCCCATAATCGTCTTGGAAGGTCTGTTTTTGAAACCACTTTCTGCTAACTTGTTAGACTAAGCTTGGATATAAATGAAGATAGATCAAGGTGATTTTATTAGAGAATCAAAGAGCATGACTAGGGTTAAATGATAAGCCTGGATTGAGACCGCCCGAAAACGCTTCAGAACACCGTTTAACGCGCTACCGCAGACGAAAGCCCATCAATCTATCTTTGAGGAGGGAACAGCATGGTTAGATTTTTAGGCTACAGTAGATAAGCCTGGATGACCATGACTCAAACCAAGCTTTGAACCACTGCTCGTTATCTTGCAAAATCTGGGATCAACCGCTCTATACCGTTGTTTGAAGTGATCACTTAGGATTTCCCCGACACTTAAGTGAAGACTGAAGCACTTAGACAAGTATT